CAAACAAATGACCCACCCACAACCCTGGGCTGTAGCCTTTCCTCCTGCTGCTGTGGCTCTACAGCCACAGAGGATCACATACATGAAGTTGGTGGAGCTGCAGATGCTCTGGAGGGCAGGGCTAGGATCCAGGATGACCTGGGTAGACTAGAGAAGTGGTCTGCAAGCAGGGATATGAGATTCAGCAAGGACAAGTGCAAAGTCCTGCACCTAGGCTGAGACAACCTGATGCACAGATACAGACTGAGAAATGACTAGCTTGGCTGCAGTACTGCAGAGAGAGGCCTGGGGGTTACAGTGGACCAGAAGCTGAATGAGCCAAGAGTGTGCTCCTGATGCAAGAAAAGCCAACAGCATCCTAGGCTGCATTAACAGAAGTGTCATTTGTAAAACAAGGGAAGCAATTCTGCCGCTCTGTTTGGTACTGGTTTGCGGCCCTTTGCACCAAGAGAGCAGTGCACAGATTGGAAAGAGTCTAGCACAAAGTGACAGAAGTGAGGAGCCTGGGAGACTAGTCTGATGAGGAGAGGCTGAACGAGCTAGGGTTATTTAGCCTGAAGAAAAGAAGATGGGGGTGGGCAGGGGACAGGGTTGATAACAGGTCTTCAGATACCTCAAGGGCAATTACAGAGAGGACAGAAATGAGCTTTTCTTTGTACCTGTAGTGACCAGGACTAGAAACAGTGGCCTCAAGGTCTAACAGAGGAACTTTCTGACTATGATGGTGGTCAAGCATTGGAACAGGGTCCTTGAAGAAGTTGTGGACTGTCAATCCTTGAAAGAAAAAGCCTCAGGAGGTCCCTTCCAGCCCTGCTTCTCTACGACCCTACTGTCCTGGAGTGGCAATCCCACACTGCTGAGAAAGAGCATTGCCCTGGTGCAGCAGGCCTGCAAAGCTTAGCTGCACGCAGGGCAGGGCACCTGCTAGTCAGACTTTGTGCACAGAGTTGCTTTGTTCTTGCTGAGCTGGTTGCAAGCATCCCCCAGGTACTCAACCTCTGCCAATCCCATGCAACAAAGAGGGGCTGATAGGCTGTGGAGGCTGCATTTATTCGGTTCAAATCTTCCCTTGCAAGGAGCACATTCTTGCGAGTCAAATACCCGCGCATCATGGTGTCTCTGTACTACTTCCATGGCACTCTTGAAAGTGCTGCTGAGAAGCACATTCCCCTCGAGCCCCCTCCCTCTCTGCGGTGAAGCTACCCGAGGGGCTACCCGAGGGGCTACCTCTACCACCACCCTTGTAGTAGGGCCTTAAACAGAAAGATTAGCATGGCACATCTCTTCTGGGAAGGGATGCCCCTACTATCCAGTACCCACCCCAGGCTGGGCAGAGAGGGTGGGATCTTCGCTCCCTAGGTGACCTGCAGCCGCGTTCATCGACCATGTCTGTGTTTGACTGTAAAAAGTTCTGTCACCTTCATGCACAGACTCATCCCAGGCTGAGTCCCCTGGAGAGACCTGATCCAGTAGTTCAGAGCATAACTACCACCCGCCTCTTCAAGATACAGCTGTGCTCACTTTCTTTTAACAGGGCTGCCAGAGGAGGAGGTTGTGGCGATTGCTCCTCTGTTGTATATGATGGCTTAGTGCCCTCCGCCAGGCCTCAGTGCCCCTCTAAGATTCAAACCCAAGTCACCCCACCTTGCCCAAGAGAATGCCTCAATTGCTAGTCTGTGGAGGGGCATCCTCTATCCCTCCTGCTGAATCTGGACCACTGCAAGCAAGCAAGACGCAGGGGACCAGAAGGAGAACAAGCAAGAGGGACTCTGCCTCTAGCCTAGTGGTTAGGGCACTCAGTTGAGATGGGAAGAGTACAGAGCTCTGCTACACATGCTTGAGTGTTTCTGTATTATAGGTAAGGGTTGTAAAAAATACAAGAACAGTCCAGGGGTAGGAGCCAGAACTAAGACTACCCCCACATCCAAGCTAGGCTGCCCTGCAGCATTCCCTACTCCAAATAGCCTTAACCTGGTGGCAAGACAGGTATGCTGGACCCCTGCAGCCAAGGTGCGCATTGCACCCAGTCCCTCATTTCCAGGTGTGGCAAGGGGCAACACTGGCGGGGGACTCCAGGGTTCAGACTGCCACTGGTCCTGTACTCGCCTGCCTTGCCTTGTTGTTAAATGACTCCAAGAAGTTGCCTCATCCTCCAAAGGGAAAGGGTAGGTGAGGCCAGGCAGGCAGGTGCTAAATAGTGGAGAGCCTTGTCCTATTGTGGATGGCTTTACGAGCACTCGTGGTGCTCTGGAGAGGTACCGGAGGACTGGAAGAGGGCCAACGTGGTTCCCATCTTCAAAAAAGGGAGGAAGGACGACCCGGGAAACTATAGGCCAGTTAGTCTTACCTCGATCCTAGGCAAGCTGTTTGAGAAAATAATTCTGGCACACATCCAGGAGGGGCCAGCAGGGGACTGCATGCTTAGGGGCAA